CTACTTCCTTAGATTTCTTTGCTTATTTACCTCTTAGAATTTTTGAGTAATTTTTTTGAGTAATTTTCCTCTCGGAATTTGGAAGTAATTCTAGAGAATTGAAGAAAATATGAGAATGTGAGAAAATGGAGAATTGGGGAAAATGGAGAAAATGGGTACTGTGAGAAAATGGATACAGAGTGATAGTAACACGTGTTGTTCAAAATATTCGGGCAAAAAAATAGAGGGAAGTACTCCGCGCGCTTCTTAATTTTTCATCATACACACATACCGTGGCAATAGCTCCCTTTTTTGTTAAAATAGCTAGGCTAATGCAATGGTTCTTTAGAGCCGTGGCAATAGCTCTACCTTTAAGAACATTAGTGTTAAATCCGTGGCATTAGCCTACTCTACTGCAACGGCAATTAAAATACCGTTGTATTAGCCTTTATTAGGCCGTTACATTTGGTCAAAAATGTAGTAGTGTAAATACTTGGCTAAAAACTTCATTCAAAGCTTATGCAATACCAGTCTCACTGTTTGATGTGATATGGAAATGTTATCATTCATGGTAGTCTCCCCTACTTGCCTTTGAGTTGTAAAATTAGAGCAAAACATGCTAGAGCAATTAAACTCAAATAATTTTTGTTTAAATAAGCAAGAAATATTATACCTAAATCTAAGCCCTGTTTAGTAAGCCCCAGAAGCTAACAACCAGTTCTTTTAATTTTTTTATTATAATGTCAGCACTTGCTATGCATAAACTGAATCATTATGCATCCAGAAACAACAACAAAAAAATCAAAGGGTGTCTCACATATAAAGGAGCAAACAAACATACAATGAACAAACAAGCATATAACATACATAAATGAGCAAACAAACATAAAATGAACAAACAAGCATGAAATGAGCAAAAAATAAACATAAAATGAACACACATACATAAAATAAGCAGATATAATCAGAAAATCCACAAAAAATTGAGCAAAATGAGCACAATTAATGACATATAAATAAGAGAAAATTTACTTAGATTTCACCATTGTTGCAACTAAATGCAATTCGAAGCAAAAAAATAGAAAATGTAGATGACGTACACGAAGAAATCTGCAAATTGAAGACAGAGAAAGAAGAACAGAAGAGTAAGAAAGAAGAATGGAAGAGTTATGTGGAAAACTAGAAATGAAACTGTGAAGAAAGAGGAAATTGAAGGAAAAATCATGTGCAGGTGAAATGTCAAGCAAAATTAAAAGTAAATGACAGTTATAACCCTGCCATACACCAAGGTTTATACCACTAATTCCACCCCCCTGGCCTCGATGTGTCATGTCATTAGCCACACATACTCTCAAATAAATATGACACATAACACAATCAATCACTATATTCACACTTTTCGAAATATATATATATATATATATATATATATATATAATGAGAACCACTTGTATAATAGTATATATATATATATATATATATATATATATATATATATATATATATAATGAGAACCACTTGTATAATAGGAACTAGGAACTAATTAGGGCCGTTGGATCTAACTTAGATGCGCGCTTGATGAGCGGCCTAGATTAATTCAGCACTTTCTGTCATTTCTCTCTCCTCAAGCGTAGCGAACTTCCTAGCTACCTCCATTGAAGCGGATTTTGAGCTTTCTCTACTCCATTGCAGCGGATTTCGAGCTTTATGTACTCCATTGAAGCAGCTTCTAAGGTAAGATGTTTGTTTTCCTCTTTTTTGAATTACGAATTTCAATTTCACTATCTATGGTATAATTCGATTTTTAGGGTTTATTTTTTTTTCTACGTTTATCATATATCCTATCAATTTGAAGCATTCATTTGTAATTTCGTATACAATTTGCTTTGCTTCATTGAAGTTAATGATCTTTATTCTCCATTAAAGGGAATTTCGAGCTTTTTCGAGCTTTTGATACTCCATTGAAGTAGCTTTTGAGGTAAGACATTTTAAGAGCATAAATATTGGTGAGGATGGCTTTGTCCTCTCAACCATTCTCTCTCCTTACCCTATTTTGACACTTCATACTCTATTTCATCCACCTCATTTTCTACTATCTCTTTCCTCTCTTCCATCCTCTTCCATTTATTTTTCCAACATCAAAGGGTATCCTCTTGATATATTTTATACTATAAATATGTCCCCACCTTCAAATTTTATCTTTGTGAAAGATTATTTTTTATTGATTTCATTAATGATAAGGTCTAATAATAATAATAATAATAATAATAATAATAATAATAATAATAGTAATAATAATAATAATAATAATAATAATTAGGATTCGATAATTAGCATACATAATAAAAATTACCATACTTTATCAATATTTTGATACAATAACACATGAAATTAGGAATAAAAACACTAATTGATACACTAAAGTACAACAAATACAAGAAATTAAAGACAAATAACTAACTATCCTCTTTTCTCCTTACCGATTACTACTATGCCCAAATCTTGCCCACAAATGTTCTACCAAATCTTGTTTAAGTGACATATGAGTTTGTTTATCGTGGAGATTTTCGGGTGTTGCCATTAATGTGGTTAGATTAGGATTTTGGTAGCGCGGGATTACGATGAAAGTCGTTGCTCTTTGATTTGAAGTTCCCGCTAAATACTCGGGTTGCTCAGTAGTAAAATCATTAGGATCCCAATAGTTAAGATAACTATCGCGCTCATCTTCCACGATCATATTGTGCATGATAATACACGCCATAACAATTTTCCACAACATTTCGACACTCCATGCCAAAGCATGACGCTTATTATGGCAAATTGAGCTTGCAACACTCCAAATGCACGTTCTACATCTTTTCTAATACTTGAAAGGAATGGTGTCCTTCCAACAAGTGTATTATTCCGATAGAGGGTTCAGAATTATTACAGAGCTAATTCTTCAGTAAGGTCAAGTGATCGGAATGCCTAGGTGGAGGCCGCTTCCGATCAGTAATATCGAGGTATAATTGATATTACAGCTTAATCTTAACTGAACCCTTCGGGTCGAACCCAATCGAATCTCCGATCCGAGACGTCGAATTAAACCGAAAGGATTTAATGAGTCGACAGAGTTTTACGAATACAAACGTCGAAAATCGAGCCTAGGGCGTCGATACCGAGCGTCGCAAAATCACAAGCAACAAGTATAGCGTAGCCGTAGCTAGGCTAGGCTAGCTCATAGAAAGCCTAGGTGCACCATGTGTGTGCTAGGCACCATCGCAGCCTAGGCGCGCCCTGGCAACCCATCGCAAGCTAGCAACATGCTAGCATGGGTGCCTGGGTGCGCATGGCAGCCATCGCAAGCCACACAGGCACCAGGCAGCCCATCGCAGCTAGCAGCGTGCTAGCGTGGGTGCCTGGGTGCATATGGCACCTGTCGCCAGCAATGGGCGCACCAGGCGCACCATCGCAGGGCCTGGTGCTGCGTGCGTGCGTGCCTGGCATGGCAGCACCATCGCAGGCACCAGGCGCACCATGGAAAGCACTAGGTGTTGCGTGCGTGCGTGCCTGGCTTGGCAGCACCATCGCAAGCACCAAGTGCTAGCATGGTTGGCTGCCTGGCAATGGCGCGCCATGTGCGTGGATGCTTGTGTGCTAGCCTTCGCATGGCAACGCCAAGCATCGCACCACATGCGAGAGGCTGGGCGCCAGCGTGATGCTGGGCCTCGCACAAGCAGCCTCGCACCACAGGCGCATTGATGCGTGTGGGCTGGCAATGCGTGTGATGCCTGTGCGAGAGGTGCAGCGAGGGACACGAGTGTGTGCGTGGTGCGTGGCGCATGGCTGGTGCGTGATGCATGTGCGACCAGCCAATGCGTGGGATGCGAGGGCCAGCGCCAGCGATGCCCAGCAAGCACTGGCTGTGCTAGCGATGCGATGCGAGAGAGTGCAAGGCAGCAGCAGCGCTAGGCTAGCAGCATCAGCGCCTAGCAGCTCGCAGCGTGCTAGGGCTGATGCGTGCTAGGCCAGTGCATGCTGGCTGCCCATCCTTGGTGCTAAGCGCCAGCTGGCAGCCTTGGCAGCCAAGGCAGGCTGTCAGCCCTGCTCTCCATGAGGTGGCGGTTTAGGTGAGGGGTGGGGACCAAGCTTAGGCAAGGGCCTTGAGGAGCAAGGCAATGGTCCCCCCACCCATTCATGGTCCTCACCTAACCTTCTCTCTCTATTTGACACTTGTTGCATTGTGATTAGTTTTGTTTAATAATTTATTTTAGAAATAAATTAATTAGCAAAAATACATTCTCCCACATTGGTGGAGGATGAAAAATCAAGGGATCATTTCCCTATAAATACCAAGCTTGGTATTGGGATTTGATACAACCTTGAGTGGAATTAAAAAGGCAACTCTTGAAAAGAGTAAACCTTTGATTCGTAAAACTCATAGTTATTTTGTCCGGGTCTTGACTAACCTTCAAGACTTAGGACGCTCGGGTCGGGTCGAGGGTACGATCCGTCGGAGATCTTGTCTTTTCGGGATTTTGAAGTAAGAGCTCTTTGGGAGCGAAGCACGCGTCAAAGGTATAATTCTTGTCCTTAATCTTGTTTGATTAAGTTTATTATGCTTGTTTAATTACTTTAATTAAGGGGCGGGTCTTGGTGGGTTTCCTTCCGCGTAGTGTCGGGTCACTACGAAACCCTACAATACTCTCTTGTTTGGTAGTAAACAATTGTTGTTTAGGGGTTTGAGGTGCAGTTATCACATCTATAAATGTTGCCCATTTTGGGTAGATCCCATCTGTGAGATAATACCCTTGATTGTAAGTATTTCCATTCACGGTGAATTGAAGTTGTGGAGCACGACCATTTAAAATGTCGTCAAAGACGGGTGAACGTTGAAGGACATTTATATCGTTGCACGATCCAGGTGTTCCAAAAAAGGCATGCCATATCCACAAATCCCAAGATGCAACAGCTTCTAAGATAACCGTCGCCGTTTTTGATCGCCCTTGATACATCCCTTTCCACCCCGCTGGACAATTTTTTCACTCCCAATGCATGCAGTCGATACTTCCCAACATACTAGGAAAACCTCTTTCCTCTCCTTCTCTTAGAAGGCGATTCATATCTTCAGGGGTTGGTTTTCTCAAGTACTCTACTGAGAATTCGCGAATCACTCCTTCAACTAAGTGCGTGATACAATGCCTAGCCGTAGTTGCCCCAAGATTGAGGTACTCGTCAACTTGATCAGCTGCGCAGCCATATGCTAACATCCTTATAGCCGCTGTGCACTTTTGTATTGCAGAAGCACCCAAACGCATACTAAAATCTGGATGTTGCTTGAAAAATCGATCAGTTTCACTTAGTTGATTCACTATCTTCATAAATAGAGGTTTTCGCATGCGAAACCTTTGTCGAAACTTATCATCACCATACAATGGTTGGTCGCTGAAATAGTCAGCAACCAACTGATTATGTGCTGCTTCACGGTTACGTGGTATAACTTCCCTTCGTTTTCTCTGACGTGGAACATCTTCTTGTTGTTATTGCATGGTGGTGTTAACCACATATCTCAATGCATCTTCTATGATTTGTTGTTGCTGATTTCCCTCAATAAAATCAAGCAACATGTAGTCATAGATTTCATCACTAGAAGTGGAAGAATTTGAATTACTACTCATTTTAAAATTACTAATATGTAGTAGTTGTAGTTGTGATAGTGACAGTGTTGTAAGTGAAATCGGTCAATTTATAGAAAATTGAGATAAAAGTTACAAAACATGATTTGCAATCTGGTAAGATAAGATTTTTTACCAGAAGATAAGATTTTCTTACAAAAGATAAGATTTTTTATAGATAAGATAAGATTTTTGGTAGATAAGGTAAGATTTTTTTATCAGAATGTAAGACTTTTGGTAGATAAGGTAAGATTTTTTATCAGAGGGATAAGATTTTTGGTAGATAAGGTAAGATTTTGTTAGAGTATTTAACATAATAGAATTTTCATGTGACTAAACTTATATAAGGTTTAAGGATTCGAAAATTACATATTGTTTTGGTAGAAAACATAATATTATTACTCCAACACATGCATAAGATTACAACATCTAATATCAACTAAAAATACAAACGATTAAGATTACTACTACGTACGATTACATCTTAAGTACTACAACAACTCTTAAACATAACGTTATTAGCTGAAAGACAAACTCTTGATACAGAAACTAAAAGATAAAATAGTTAATACATAAAAATAACTAATACTTAACTTATATCTTTAAAAAAACCTGTTACTAAACTCCTCTCTAAGCTTCTTGTGCATGTCGGCTTCAAATTCATCGAGGACGGGTTTTGCCATCAATGAACATAACATGCCGAATTTCATCTCCTCCTCCTTTTTCTTTTTCCTATCTTCGCTCCTTTTGCTTATCAAGTCGATCATTCGTTCTCCTTGATCAAGCCTCTTATGACTACATTCATCAAGAGTTGTATTGAAAGCTTCAAGGTTTATCGATCTAGAAGAATTACTACCTTCTGCAGCTAAACTCTTTGATTTTTTTATACCCAGAGGCCGCTTTCTTCTAGCACCCACACTTGGTGATTTTGGTTCGGATTGTTTCCCACTTCCCTCGCTCTCCAAAGGAAGCTGTTGGACCATATGTGGGTCCCATTTAGGAAAAATTTGCATTATTTCAAAACAATGAATCAAAGTAAACTGTTTTCCATGATTGAGTTTTGCATAATACTCATGGGCATGTTGGACAGCGTCCCCACCCGAGTTTCCACTTTTCGGGTGTCGTAGGATATAGCCATACGCCATAACCCATTTTGAAACCCATTTATTGATAAAATCCCAACGTTGTTGCATGGACTTAATGGTCCGTTCTTTTATCTCTTCAAGGTTCTCTGCCCGTGCCTCTTCGTATAACTTCCTAATTACAGCCCATAAACCGGCTTTAGTCGTTTTGTATTTATCGTAACGTTCCCACCGGCATTGATGTAGCCTGAAACAAGCGCCTTATCTTCAGCTATACTCCATGCACTAGCTTTTTTTTATCATTGGGGTCTTCTCCAGTAATGTCAGCAACATCATCATCGAGATCTTCTAGATGTTGAGCTTCCCGCACATCTTCTGTTGGAGAAGTAGTGCTACTAACATTTACTCCTGGAGATCGATCCATGGGTTGGGTAAAATATTGGGACATGGGAAATAATGGGACATTTTGTGAAGATGAGCTCCCATGAAATTGGTGAGGAATTTGAGATGTATAATTTGGGTTTATAGGTCTTTGGTGGTTACCAAACCATTGCAAAGCAGCTTGAAATTGTGGATTATTGAATATACTTGGATAAAAAGGAGGAGTGTTTGAATTGTATCGAGGATTTGGATTATTTGGAAAATTCGTATTTCTTCCATAATTATGATTATTTTCATCCATTACAAAAGAAAATTATAAAAAGAGAGGAAAGAGAAGGAGTTAAAAAAGATGAAAAATTGAAGTGCATAAAAATTGCCTAAAATTAGGTTCATTTTATAGAGAAAAAAAAAATACAACCGTTGGTAAAATCAGTTTTTTAAAATATGTTACCGTTTGTGATTAATTACCGTTATAATTTTTTTGAGCTAGTAAAATTATGTAACAAAAAAAACAAATAAAAAGTTGACACTTGTCAACCAATAGCTGGCCCATTTAAAAATGTAGTCGTTTATACTCCATGCTTTGCTATGATGTTTCTGGTGGGTGTATAGGAGGTTGGTTTTTTTTTTTTTTTTTTTTATTACTGTAAAACGTCACCGTTTGCTGAGAAATGTTTACCAAACGGAGGGTTTTGGCTGTAAATATTCATCCTCTTGGCACAAAGGACGAGGACACGGGGTGCTCAATCCTTCACCAGAAAAGGATTGTTGAGAATCCTCTTCCCCTTGAGGATCCTCTACATTAAATGACATTAAAGTGGATTACTCCAAATCAGCAAAAACCCCATACAAGAGGACATATATCCTCACCAATATTTATGCTCTAATACTTCTTGTTTTTCCTCAATCTAAATCAAATTGCAATTGAATTTTATTATTTCTTGTTTTTCAGCCTGAATGTGTCTATTGTTTTTACTTTACATTGAGTTAATTTTGATTATTCAATTATTGTTGTTGATTTCTTAATGCACACTAAGTGTTTGACAAAATGCCTCAATAAATCCAATTAAAAGGGGGGGTGCTGGTATGCCCCTTCCTATAGCCTGGTCACCACCTGATGAGGGGTGGGGAAAGCTGAATGTTGATGTTGGAGTTTTAGGGGAGTTAGGGACTGGTTTGGGGGCAGTGTTGCGTGACTGTAATAGCTCGGTTCAAGGCTGTTCTGTGGTGCAGGGCATCGAGTAATGGGAGACAAATGTAGCTGAAGCTATGGCTATAATAATTTAGAAATTTTGATTCAATTAAGTATACATCTCATAAAATTAAACTAAATCTCTCCAAAAGTAAACTAATCCTCTCTTAAAGTATACGAATGCCAATAATTAGGACATTTTAATCTTTGTGCCTTTGGTGTGAAGTGTGTGGTCTTATAAGAACTCTGTTATGTTTAATGAGCCATGGCAGAACTGGGATATTGGAGTCATGGGTTTGTTCGACTAGTTGGGGATTATAAAAATTACATTGATATAATTATCCTCATCTGTGGATGTATCAGGTCTCCAAGATAACTCCTCATTATGACTGTCGTAGTTCCTCCATGGTCGACCAAGAAAGGTAAATGATCTTAACCATGAATTTAGTTGATTTAGTTTGTGATTTTGGGAGATTGGGAGATGTGATATTTGGTTATGAACTTGGTGTTTAGATCATTTCAATTGTGTAAAATCACAGAGATTAGGCTTCTAATTATTGTTGGGAAAATGATTATGTTTTTATTATCTGAACTGTATGATACAGTAGGAAGTATATAGTTTTACAGGCAATTGTTCCTTTCATCCTGATTCCTGATTACACTGCTACAATTCTAAATAAAAAGGGGATGGCTAAACATGGGAATAACTAATTGTCATTTGTATTGGCTTCTTTTCTACAGCTGTAATTGGAGACAGGTTCTTGGCTAGAGACCTGACAGTAGAAAACACGGCAAGTCCGGAGATGTACCAAGCAGTAGCAATCAGAGTGACCTCTAACTCTGCTTTAGATTGTTACTAGGTGTACTAAAACCTATTAGCTCAAGTGGTAGAGCACTATGCAAATGCATAGGGGATGTAGGTTCAATTCCTACATAGGTTGTCTCTAAAACTAAATAAAAAACACTCATAGTAAATTAAACAGCACTGAAGCAAATGAAAAACACTTAAAAGTAAATAAAAAACACTCAAAAGTAAATAAATCAAAAACAGATGAGGTGAACTGGAATTGCAGGAACTGAAATTGCTCTAGATGCTTGTCTTCTCACAAAGTATCTAAAAACATTCGGCGACATTCAATGGGAGATAACAAGCAAGGTTTGGGTGGAGTTGTTATGTGATGCTGCTATGCTTTGCTCACCCAAGTCCCATGGCGTGCAATAAAGCAAAGGCGGGGAATTCTCACGTTAGTGTGGCTGTTAATAGCTCATCTTGGTTTACATTAGGTTTGAAAATACAAAAGATGAATAAGGTTGGAAAATGTAGATACCTAGAGTAGTTGTTTAAAGTAAATAAAAAAGTATTTAAAGTGAATAAAAAAGACTCTAAAGTAGACCTATTAGCTTAAGTCGTAGAACACTATGCGGATGCATAGAGATGTAGGTTCGATTCCTACATAGGTTACCTCTAAAAGTAAATACAAAACATTCTAAAGTAATTCAAAACATCTCAAAAGTATATTAAAATAGCTAAAAAGTAAATCAAAAGTAAATAGTATTAACTTAAAAGTAAATAATATTAACTTAAAAGTAAATAGTATTTACTTAAAAGTAAATTATCTCTACTCACAATTATTCAGTCTAGGGTGCACATTGCTAAAAAGAAAAAGCAGGGTATTAGTTTACCAACATGTTTATATCTTTAATCCTTAGATAAGTGACCTTGAGTTTCTAGTAATAAAAGTAGATATAAAATAGGTTAAAGTAAATAAAATATTTATTAAAGTTAATAGAAATGAAATTCACCTTCTCTACTTCTAAAATAAGGAAATTGCTATGAAGAAATGCTTATTGACAATCTCTAATTACTATGAATGCTTAAATATCTAGTATAAGTGATAGAACCTTCTGTCATACCTTTAATCCTTGGATGGTGAGCTTGAGTTTGTAAGTAATAAAAGTAGATACAAAATACGTTGAAGTAAATAAAATATCTCTTAAAGTAAACACAAATGAACCTACGTGGGATTCGAACCCACATCTTTTGTGCATTTGCACAATGCTCTACCTCTTGAGCTAGTAGGCTAGTATATATAAAGTTGACAATAATAAAATTAGCAAAGACAACATCAACAACATCAAAATCAGTTGCTAAGACCAGATGAAATAAGTTAAAGTAAATAAAATAAGTTAAAGTAAATAAAATATTTATTAAAGTAAATAGAAATGAAATTCACCTTCTCCACTTCTAAAATCTGAAAATTGCTATGGAGAAATGCTTATTGACAGTCTCTAATTGCTATGAATGCTTAAATACGTAGTATAAGATTATAAAACCTTCTGTCATACCTTTAATCCCTAGATAAGTGAGCTTGAGTTTCTAAGTAATAAAAGTAGATACAAAATAAGCTGAAGTAAATAAAATATTTCTTAAAGTAAATACAAATGAACCTACGTGGGATTCGAACCCACGTCATTTGTGCATTTGCACAATGCTCTGCCTATTGAGCTCGTAGGGTAGTGTTAGTTGCGCATAGAATAAGAATATTTAGTGAATGCAATTGATAAAGTTTAGTATCTTCATATTTATTTCAAAGTAACTAAAAATAAAACTCCATCTGACACAACAACCATCAGATAATGTCACTCATGTCAAGAGTATGAGCAGGTTGTGATTTAGGTTTCAGTAAATTAGTTAAGCCATGCATGGAACAAAAATGAGGACAAATTAAAGCACTTGGCGTGAAGGAATCAAGTTAAACCATTGAGGATTGTAGACTACCCAATGGCATCTCCATTCTTGAGTCGTGTACAAGTTGCAAATCATGAAAGTTGGTCACGATACTTGGTTGGATCTCCTGCTGTATAATATTCTACAAAGAAATGAGAAAACTGGAAAGAGTAATCTGAAAATTGGGTAATACGTAAAAAATAATATACAACCATTTGAAATGTATAGACATTCGAAACACTTTTTATTTAAAAAACTAACCAAGTAATCGGTTAGTAAATATCAGGTGGAGAGAGCAAGGCCAAAGTTACATAATTTAATGACAATGAAAAGGAAACACCACAAATTTTATTGAGACCTTAATATTGTTTCATAAACCACTACATAAAGTACATATTGTTTCAGAGTGTTCACCTTAATATTGTTTCATCAACCACTGCATATGTACGATGAAGGCGTTCCTTAATATAGTTACTCTCCAACTTAAGCTCTCTTGTTTCCTTCAAAATGCGATCAATATTTGTGTCCAATTTCCGACTGTTCTTTGTAATCTCAGTGATCCTTTCGATATATGATCTCCTAAAGGCAACTTTTCGCTGCTGCTTCATTTCTCCTGCAAGTTTAGCACACTCCTCTTCCCTTCAAAAACAGACAAGAAAATTTAAGTCATCTACCTTGAGTTTATAACCAGCCACAAGAAGCAAGTATATTCACTGCAGAGAAAGGGGAAAGCCAAAACCAGGATAAACAAGTATCGCTTGATTATTTAAGTCTTATAAATCTATATGCCAACCTTTACCCAGCTTTCACAACATGTTTACACACAAGTAGGAAACTATAGAATGGTAATCCAACACTCGAGATTACTATAAAGCAGGATTGCTCATAATTATCCTCAGAACGGTGTTAGCTGTAGGTACTGTATGTCTGTACCTTTTTCTGATTTCAGATAAAACAGAATGCATCTCTCTGTCAATGTCTTTTAGTTTTTGCAATTTAAGCACTCAACACTCAACAATGACCAGCCAACACCACAACCCCGCTCCCTGATTACAAAGACCCACACCATTTCATAACGCCCAAGGCCACAACAAAAATCTGCAGTGCCCTTGCTGCTACTACCAAACAACAACTCTCCAGGGGGCAGCCATAAACATCAATACCACACAACAAAATGCAAAATTTAATCATTATCAACTCAAAAAGTAAATAATATAAGCACAAAAGTAAATATTATAAGCATAAAAGTAAATGATATAATCGAATTGGGCTCATAAAATTGAGTTCTAAATCAGTAATTGAACACTTAAATTACATATCACATTTCACATAAAATACCTAAATAAATTATACAATACCCTAAATCATACAATTAGATTAAAAATTATAAAAAAGAAAAAAAAAACCCAAATCTTAGTACAAAACCCTAAAATGTAATAAGTAATTCGAAAAACACCCAAATCGAAATATATGAACCCTAAATCGTAATAAGTAATTAAAAAAACACAAAATCATAATAAAAGAACAATAAATAAATAAAAAATAAACTGAAAAAATCGAACAAAAAACAACAAAAACAAATCAGAAATAACAAATCGAATGATAAAACAAAAATCGCAAATCGAAAAAAACACAAAGCAAATCGATAAAAAAAAAATCAAAAAATCACAAAAAAGTATAATAAATCCTAATAAGTTACCCTCAAAACAATGAAGAAAATCGAAAGAGAAAAAACTTGATGACCGAAGAAAAATTCGAAGGAAGAGAGAGAATTAGAGAGAATTCAGAGGAAGAGAGAGAAAATGAAATGAAGAGAGAGAAAGTAGAAATGAAAATCAGATCAATTGAAGCAAGTCATTGAAAGCGCGAATTTACCATTTTGCCCTTAATGAGGCGGGTGGAATGTGAGCCGTTAGATTGAGTGCGATCAACGGTCCAGATGAGTTCCTAGTTTCTATTATAAACCTAGGTTCTCACATGATCTTGATCCTATATATATATATATATTAGTATGTGCCCGGGCGTTGCCCCGAATATCCATTATCAAATGAAATGAAATTAAATTAGAGTACTTCTTTCATTTTTCTTGTTCAGGCACTTTGGTCTGATGATTTCTGCTTTTATCTTTCTTTTATTTTTCTTACCTTCTTGTATATGATATACCCTGCATAAACCTCCTTTGTACTTAAGCCCACTACACAGAATCACTATCTAAAGCTTCTACTATGTGATTTATATCCAACGTGACTCGCTTTATTCTTGGACTGAGTCAACTCATCATAGTCACAATCAGAGTTGATGATTTGCTCCCGTGACCCGCTTTATTCTACCCGTTCAATCGTAGATCTTAGCCTTAGAACCAATGGTAGACTAAAAACAAATTAATGATACACGACCATATTAATAATTATAATAATTACGTGGTTACTCGTATAGGAGTAAAATTCTATTGTTAATTGGATATTCATATTAATTATAATATGTGGTGTGTTGATATAAGTATAATTCTATTGTCAATAAAAAGATAGATTTTTTTCAAAAGAGTTATAAATTATTTTATGTATACTTCCTAAACAAATCTATCCAATCTAATTTAACGTGGCATCTAATCTAATCACAATAATGTCTATTTGTTGCCTACGTGGCTCGACACTTGGCGAAAAACTGAAATGCCAAGTATCGTTGTCTCGTGGCCTGGCTGCGAGACCGGCTTTAGTTATTAGTGTTAAGATATGATATGATATGATATATGATATATATATATATATATATGACCAAGTTATAATGGAAACATCCCCCATAATGAGAACTAGGAACTCATTTAAGCCGTCAGATTAAGGCACAATAGACGACTATGATTAAAATAGAAAAGATAAATTCATTCCCACTCACTGTCTTCGTAACTTTCTTTCTCTCTTCAAAAACAAACTTTCTCTCTCTTCAATTTTCTTCACATTCTGGAAATTTTGTACTAAAACTAGGTATAATTAGATGTAAATTCGTTAAGATCATGCTTGAAATTTGAAGTTCGCTTGTTAAATTTGGTGAATTCAGTTTAAATTTCTTTTGCGATGCTTAATTCTTCGCTCGAGCCGCTGCCAATAGAGTTCAAAATAGGTATAGTTATAATAAGCTTAAATTTGAAATTTCTTAATGTAGACACCGGATTGTGTCTCCCCAAAAACAAAACCCAGTGATGAGTACCTTTCACGCTTTGATTAACAATTTCAGTAAAGAGTTGAAGAGTCTCGTGAATTTTGCTTAAGCCTTGACCATGTCCCTAACCTTACTTAAAATGTTTTAATCTAAAATCATCTATTTCGTGCCTTTAAACCCAAAATCATTCATTTTGTGTCTTTAAAATCATTCAATTTATAAAAATGTCCCAACCACATTATTTTGGTTCATAATCCTGGTCCAATTATTGCTTAGTTGGATGGGGTTTGAAAAGAGCTTTTCAACGATATATTATAAGCCCAAATCCGACTTAAAACGAAAAAGTTATGGCCAAAATACTAAACCAAGCTCAAACCGAGTCTAGGTCCACCTTACCTACGACCCAATGGTCATGTGAGGGTCTAAATACCATATTTTCTAATCCTAAACCCAGTTGGATTCTTTAGGAGCTTCTAGAATCCTCTAAAAGATTCTAATCTATCCTTTCCGAAAAGATAAAGATCAAAAGAGTTTGAAGCCGAATAAAATTTCTCTCATGATAGTCCTTATCTCGATCAAATTCAAAGACGTCTAGATAAATTTCGTTAACCCAATTATATTAGAAATCAAATTCCGTACAACTTTGTTATCTTCAAAACCATCGCAGAATGACAGAACCAACGCGCCGCAATAGTTCCATCGCGCCGCAATGGGTCCATCGCCTAGCAATGAAACCTTTTTTATTCCGTTCTAAATTCTAATCTTTTCTGTTCGTCTAGACTCTCTTTTTTCCCTATAAATAGAGGTCGATTTACCCCATTTCAATCATCAACAATCATCACAATCATCGTAATCATCCATTCTCTTTCTTTAACACCTATGTTCTTAGCCTTAGCCTAAACACATCCTTGATATATATTCTCCCAAATCAATCACAATTCCTCATTCACGAGATTCGAATACTTCTAGCCATCCTCGAGATTGCCTTCAACCTCAGCGTGAAAGGTTGATAGTTCTGAGGGTTTGGTCCCAAACCTATATTTCAATTCATATTTGATTTATTTACTTTATTGATTTAAATTTCTTAAAGTTTACTAACGTGTGTATTGTTTTAATAGCAAGAAGGTTGAGGCATCAAAGTAAGTAATTCGATTAAATCATGTTTACAATATTATTTTGATTTCTAGTATCATGATTAGGATGTTGATTATGATTTCCAGTATCATGTTTAGAATGTTATTTTGATTTCTAGTATCATGATTAGGATGTTGATTATTATTTCTAGTATCATGTTTAGGATAACGTTTTGATTTTGTTATTAGTGGCATGCTAGGATTTGTTATTAATCCGTTTGGTATCATGCCTAGGGTCTTACTATTAATGACGTTTTGATAATATTTTGATGATGATGACTGTTATATTAATCATATGTTGCTTGATTATTCATGGTTTATTGTTACTGCCTGGTCACGCCCCTTTTTGCAGGTTTAAAGGGAATTTGTACTTGAGATCACGCCTAATAAGATAATTAATAATTTGATTAAGGCTAATATGATTTTAATAATTCAAGTGATCACCAATGTTAGATTTGATTGTGCATTGATAATTAACCAACGTAGATTAAACAGGTTTAGGATTAATTTGATGTATGTATGTTGATCGAAAAGCACACATAAATATCATAAGAATTAAGTAGAGGTCTATTTAGGGCGGGTTCAATCTCTTTTAGGTTGGATTCGTACCATCATCCCCGAACATCCAGTCATGGTTCCGGACCACTATAGAGTTAGCGATCTCCGTGATCGTGAATGGGGTGTAACCTTCACACCCGTGAACGGTTTACAAGTTCCTAAAACTTGTTGGCGACTCTTTTATCTCTAGTTTCTTTTCCTTGGAGCGCCGTCATGCTTAAAAACATGAACCACAATAGGGCTCAATGAGAGAGTTGAAAAATTCCATACACTTATTTAAAATTAATTTTCACAATTTGTGTTTGAATTTTGAAGAATTAGATTTCTAATTTTTTATTAGAGAATTTTGGTGCTTGAATTTATGCTATATTTTCCGGATGTAGCGTATGAACTTGATTAAAGTAGACTATTGATTTGTTTGATACTGATTATTGATTTTTTTTTATTATTTCAGTTGAAGTAAATTTAATAAGATGAACATTACAATAAGTATTTTGTAGTCTCTATTACTTTGTAATATCTTCTAAAGTAAGATAAATTTTTGAATGCACACTAACTGTTAAACGAAATGTCTCAATGAATCCTATTATTTATAGATAGAAACAAAGTAAAAGTATATCAGTTATATTTTAAAGTAAATTGAAAAACTAACAATGTGATGTATAATATATGAGCAATCAAAATAAAAGGGAATCTAGAATCAGAGGTATGGAAGCTAGTGTAGGAAATAGAAGGTCCCGTAAAACTGTTATATACTTTTTTGAAGTTAAGTGTAACTTTACTTTGATCTTTTACTACTGATTTTAATTCTAGTTAGTGGTTTTTTTCCCCTGAATTCCACTCTCTGCTGCATACGATCAAATTATATGTACACTTGACCGTGGTTTATAAGTTTTCAAAGTTGTGATGAGGTAGAATCACATACCCTCACTTATGCAAGGGCGTTGGTGCATTCCATTGATGTTAGTGTCTTGTGGGCTTAGTTGATCAATGTGGAAACTAAAATTTTAACTTTAATTGACAAGCCCGACATATTTACATTTGAACTTCTGAAGCATGCTCCAAATATGTCCATTATTGAAAAAATCTTGAACTTCCTTTACAATGTGTTGAGATAAAGAAAGAGGAAAGAAAACAAGGGGGAGGGAAGATTGATGAGCTTTCATTCCAAATATGTCCATTATTGAAAAAATCAATTTCTTACAATTTAAACCCTCCAATTTTCTCCCCTCTAATTTCTTTCCTTCCTTCCTCATCTATATACCTATAAAATTGCAGAGTTTTTTTTATTTTTTATTTATTTTTTATTATTATTTAGAATTACTGATTAGCCTAGGAACTTTATAAATTAATTAATCATTGTTATGATTAGTTTTTCACTTACGTTTTTATAGAGACTTCTATTTTGAATTTCAATTACCATTAATTCAAGAAACCAAACATGACTCAAGAATTATCTATTTTGTTGTCTAAACGAGAGATAAATAAACTCACCATTTCCCTTCCCTTTCTTTCTCTCCATATTATTTAATCCAAACAAAGGGTTAATTACCCCCATTTAAAAAAAATGAAACATCTAAGGCTCTAATTGATCTCTTATTCTTGTAATTCTCACAAAAAAATATGAAACCCTATATATATATATATATATATATATATATATATATATATATATATATATATATATATATATATATATATATATATATATATATATATATATATATATATATATATATATATATATATATATATTATCCTTTAATTTCTACAATCATACTCACATACTGAGTTATTGTCAATTACAGAACTAAATCTATATTTCCTTTTTTATTTTTCATTTTCAATGGCTAAAATCTTACATCCAATATACACTCCAACAAAATATCTTTTCGTAAAAGATTATCCGTCAAATTTGTTGTTTAGGGAAAAAATGAAATTAGTATTTTGGAGGCTATACAATATGAAAATTTGTTATATGAATTTGCTTCAACCAAACTCTAGTCATAGGACATTCAAGTAGTATGTCTTAGTTGTTGTTTGGTTGACAAAATTAAACATGGAAAGTTGGAATTCCTAAGATTTAAAATTCTTTCATGGTGTTTGGTTGACAAATTCATGGGAAGTAGAAATTTCTGGGAATTTTCACTTCCCACAAAATGGAGGAACTAAATTACTTGGGGGGCTAGTTAAGTGGAACTTCCCATGGGAATGTCCACTTTCCTTGGTTAACCACACACTTTTTAGAATTTCCTAAAAATTTCAATTTCATGGAAAATCAAATTTTCAAGGAATTTGCAATTCCTACATTCAACCAAACAAGACCTTACTGATAATGACTTATATATTATATACGGAGTACTCCCTATGTATTTATTTAAGTGCATCACTAAATTGT